TTGAAATAAAATTGGACTACAGGATAAAGGATGATTTTCTCTTCCTTCCCTATCCAGTATTGGCGCCACACACAGGGATGGGAATCCCTAGCATGGCCGGCCACAAGGGATAAGGGATAGAGGAGAATTTTGGTTCGAAATTCAAATTGGAGATAGAGATTGGATTCCTTCTAGAAGTTTGACTTCTACTCTATAAATACTATTTTTGAGACAATTTTCGGAATGGTTTTTTGCCCTAATTTTAGAGGTAGCCAAAATTTCTCTATAGAAATTTTGGAAACAATTTTTCAGCCCTAAGAGTTAAGGTTGGCCGAAATTCTCAAGAGAAAGAGGAAGGAAAAAAAATTTTCTCTAAAAATTCCACATCGTGCATGCATTGGTGTTTGTGAAAATTCGAGTGTTTATTGTAACCCGTTTTGTCTCATGTGTGCCCACACACACGTCTTCGTGGATTCTAGGAATTGATGTGGAAGACATTGGTTTTCTAAACACAAAGATTGGAGCAAGGACTATTCGTGGTCAAAGAACTCAAGTTATCATCCGAGTCGGCTTCCAGGTATTTTTCCTGATTGAGTTCTTCATATATATAAGTTAATGAGATTAATTTATTCGTGTATAAATTAATATAATCTATAGAGTATCTCAAAAGTTTTATGAAAATTTTTGTTATACACGATCCGCCTCTTCCCCGCACCACCACGCTTCCGCATCCGGATTCGATCCGGAGACCAACAGTTGCTACCACCCGATCAAGTGAGGATTGTGTCCATCATCCTTGTGTACAAATGTAGGGATTGTAAATTCTAAGACTCTAAACTTTAAGGTTCTAGACTGTGGTTGATGTCTGTAATGTTATTTACATGTTCATGTATGTACAATATTGTATATCCTATGGGTGAACCCTGAATGATGTCAGATGCTCAGTTTTTAAACCTCTTTTATTAGAAAGTGTGAAAGTCCCCATCACTTTCTTGTAATTTAATTTCAATAAAATGTGAGGCTTGTTTAGAAATTTTTTTAATATTTTACTTTTGTTTTTTATTATTATATTTCTAAATGTTTAATTACTTTCTTAATTATGTTTAACTCCTAAACGAGCCTCCACGTCACTAACCCCTGTTTTGGGCCATGACACAGTGACTTCTGATGACTGAGATTTTGGCTAGTTTGCCTGATTTTCCCAACCGACTTCACCAATAACTCTGCATGCATTGAATGCCTATCAAATCTATGAGCAACTATCACATCTTGGCTGACGTGGATGGGATCGGCTACGTCTTCAAATGATGATGCGGTCGACTTCGTATTGGGATATACTCCTCAATACGGTCGTCCTTAGGGCTTTATTTTCATATTATGATCGTTGCCTACGGTCGGCGTCTATTGAATAGTCGGATTCTTTGTTCGCAGCTGGCGCGGTCATCAATCATCCAATTATACTACGTGGCGATTATCTAGTGGTTCACGTGGATCGTGGGATTTTTCCCTATAACAATTATTATTATTTCTTTTTTGGCTTGGCAACGTCACACGATAGTTCAAATTGGGATCAAAATTTCTACATCCAAAAAATGACTAGAATGGACTCATTGTTTAAATTATGTCAACTCGTGAGCCAAAACAACACTTATATATATATATTGTTTTTTTGAAAATAACACCTATATGTTTTTTATAGTATTATAGTAATTATACTATTGTTTTGAAACTCCAAATTCGAATTTTTTACACCCTTTTAATTTCCTTTTTCTAGTATGCTAATTCTGTTTTTTTTTTTTTTTCAAGTTTATGTTTTGACTACGTATTATGTATTTTTTTTTTTTTTTATCATCACAAAATACCGATCATAAATTTAAAATTAATTAACACTTTGGTTAAAAGGTGTGGATGGTATAACATCAAATAGACAAAGGCCGTGTGGCCATATCTACCACCGGTTGAACTGCCTAACCCTAAACACTAACGTGGCAAACTCAGTTGCCGTTTATCCAACCTAACCAGTACTAGACGTACCTCCCCCAAAAGCATTGATACAGTACCATCTGTGCTTGTCTATATAACTATCTTCTGTTTCTTTCAATGCAAAGTGCACTCGTTATATCTAAGGCTCAAAGCTATATACATATATATATAAGTATCATTTTTATATATAATCCCTGAATTACGCATCTAGCAAAGTCCAATTACATAAATTATTAATTATAATAATTAATGAGCATGACGCCCTCCGTCCATGAAATCCGAAAGGCGCAGCGGTCTGAGGGTCCGGCCACTGTGCTCTCCATCGGCACCGCCACTCCGACCAACTTCGTCTCACAGGCTGATTATCCTGACTACTACTTCCGCATCACCAACAGCGATCACATGACTGACCTCAAGGACAAGTTCAAACGCATGTGTATGTATGCACTTATTATTCATCTCATTATGTGCATTCATCTAATTCGTAGCATGTTGTTTATGATAATTCATGCTTTTTCGATCGTAATATATATATATATATACATACACACATATGTAGAGTAGCAATATCACTACCCAATCAATTTCCATATATATCATGTAGGTTTAAAAATAAATTAAGGGTACGAGGTACGTAGTGCACAATATCCATCAATATATGTATCCTCTCTCATCATGATCAATCATCCATGCATGAAGATTATACACCTATGTACACACGGCCATATAATGATAGAAAGAATATGACAAAATTAAAACTGATTGTAAATCATCAATTAATTTCCATATCATGAAATGATCCATATATATGTGTTGGATAAATCATACATATACACATAGCCATATGTGCTAATTAAGATTATCAAGTAATTAATTTCGTTTTTTTTTTTTTGCTGGGAATTAATTTCGTATTTACATGTGTACTAATTTGTTTTAATTTTTAATAGAGGTTTAACATATATATATATATATGTGCGTATATATATTTATATATACACACACATGTGAATTGAATTAATATTTTACAGGTGAGAAATCAATGATAACGAAGCGTCATATGTACTTGACGGAAGAAATCCTAAAGGAAAATCCAAAAATGTGCGAGTACATGGCTCCGTCGTTAGACGCACGTCAAGACATAGTGGTGGTGGAAGTTCCAAAGCTAGGGAAGGAGGCGGCGGCAAAAGCCATAAAGGAGTGGGGGCAGCCTAAGTCAAAGATCACCCACCTCATCTTCTGCACAACCTCCGGCGTCGACATGCCCGGCGCCGACTACCAGCTAACCAAGCTCCTCGGCCTCCGTCCCTCCGTCAAGCGCTTCATGATGTACCAGCAGGGCTGCTTCGCCGGCGGCACGGTCCTCCGCCTCGCCAAGGACCTGGCCGAGAACAACAAGGGCGCACGCGTTCTTGTCGTCTGCTCTGAGATCACCGCTGTCACATTCCGCGGGCCCTCCCACACCCACCTGGACTCCTTGGTAGGGCAGGCTCTGTTTGGTGACGGCGCCGCCGCAGTGATCGTAGGCGCAGACCCCGACACGTCGGTGGAAAGGCCGATCTTCGAGCTGGTGTCGGCGGCACAGACGATTCTTCCAGACTCGGAGGGCGCTATAGACGGGCATTTGAGGGAAGTGGGGCTGACGTTTCATCTCCTTAAAGACGTACCTGGGCTGATATCAAAGAACATAGAGAAGAGTCTGGTGGAGGCATTCACTCCGATCGGCATCAGCGACTGGAATTCGATATTCTGGATAGCGCACCCGGGAGGGCCAGCGATTCTTGATCAGGTGGAGACAAAGCTGGGGCTGAAGCAGGAGAAGCTGAGTGCGACACGCCATGTTCTGAGTGAGTACGGGAACATGTCCAGCGCCTGCGTCCTCTTCATATTAGATGAGATGAGGAAGAAATCGGTGGAGGAAGGAAAGGCCACCACCGGCGAAGGCCTCGAGTGGGGCGTCCTTTTCGGCTTCGGTCCCGGCTTGACCGTCGAGACGGTCGTGCTGCACAGCCTTCCCGCTGTCTAAATCAAAATTAATATATATGTATGTATGTGACATGAGATGTCGCGCGCTTTAATTAAGAGGATGTGGGATCGGCCGGACCATTCGTTGCTGTTGTTTTTTCCTTTTTTTTTTTTTGTTTGAACCATGGGTGCTGTCGTTTTCTGTCTCCCAAAGAATACCCCAAGAAATCTAGTATATACTAAAATATGTGATCACCTCTCTCAGCTGTTTGTTTAAATATGATCAATTTATTATGCTATATATGTGTAATGCATTTGTCTTGATCGTGTTTGATATTAAGTATAGTGCACATTTCACTGATTTAATTTCTCGATCGCCCGATCATGCCAAATCTAATTCACATGTGATGATCTGCATTCTGCTTCTCAAACTCAGTACATGCCATAAAGCAATATTAATGATACATATTATTGTGAACCGAAAGAGCAGTTACTTTAGTGTTGATCCCGAAAGAAAAAATGATCATGTGAGATAGGGGGAGTGGTTTCGTGATCAATAATGACCCACGCAACGCATTCAATTAACACTTAATTCAAAAAACGACTCTCTGTACCTGTCAAAGCTTCTGTATACATAGACAAATTCGGTCACCATTAGGGACTAGGGAGGATTGGTAGACCAATAGGGACGGAAGTGCACAAATATTATAATTACGTGCAGAAGAAGAAATTATAAACAATAAATATAGAGAGAGAGACTTGTGTACTTGGAGATGAAAAAAGGGGTATATCTACTTAGTTGGATCCATTAGTTTTTCCACGGTTGTATACTTGAATTTGCAGTATCCGCAGTTATATGTGTTGCTAGCTGTATGTTTTTAATGTCCCTTTAAAATTCAACGGTTAAATTAACAGTTTCTATTAGTGGATCAAAATAGTCTTTTCGACCGTAACAATTTCCCATTGAGTTTCTTATCTTGAATCATTTATTTATTTTCCTTTGCGTAAATACCTCTTTCAATTCATTATCCACTGGGGAAACTCTCTTGAGAAAGACATTAAGTACGAAATCCAACACTAGGGATTTGTTTTAGGGAGAAAGAGGGAAATAGGCTAAAACTTGAGATGAATTAAAATTAATAAGCCAATAGTTTACGTAAGTTAATAAATAGGTCAAATTACTATTTTCGTCCATAACTTGGTTACGAACCATAACTTGACAAGTTATTGTCCATAACTTATCTGGTTATGAACCATAACTTGACAAATTTATCTATAACTTATTTAATTATAAATCATAACTTGACAAATTATAACTTATTAATTTTTATAACTAAAAATTGACACGTATACTTTTCTTAAGCCTATTTCCTACTATTTCCGTTTGTTTTATTCCCTTTATAGATTCCTTTTTTGGTGGATCCAGTCGTGTACATGATTGAGCTGTGTGGGCAGGCCCACTATGAACGGGGTGGGTTGGGTTGATTGGATTTTGCCTTCTAAATTGGGCTTCAAGTTGTGCTCTATTATAACATAACCTCTCAACATTGACATTTGACAGCAGAATGAAATTTAAGGGCAAAAAAAAAAAAAATGAAAAGAGTGAATACATCAAGCACAATAAATAGCAATTAAATGCTAAAATTAGTATACGCTATACTTGTTATTAATTTAACATCAAACATAGCATATGACAAAATTTGATATCAAAAATAGCATTGCTTTTGAAGGGTAATTTTCCCACTCAAATGCTCAAATTTACATTGACATACTAACTCGGCAGTGCATTAAAGGTGTTCTAATACAAAAATTTTATTCTTTTGTTTTTTTCTTAAAAGAAAAAAAGAAAAAGAAAAAGAAAAGGCAAATGAAAAAGAAAAAGGACACCTCAAACTGTGACAAACTGCGGCAACTTCTTAAATCATGCTAATGATGATTGGTGATAATCATGATCCTAAGATAATAGGCTAAAAGTTAAGGAGAATCCTAAGAATTCATGTGAAAATTGGAAGTGGGGAATTAAAAATGAAAAGAAGAAGAGAGGGGGGAGAGAGAATGAGAAAGTAGCCGTTACATATGATATACTCCATGCTTTGGAGTATAATTAAATTAAATTTATATGTATATGGTGTTTGATTGAGTTGTGGTCAATAGTTGTATAAATAGGACACCTTAACTGTTAAAATTATTTATAAATAAATAAACAAACTAAGAAATGTATTTTTTTTTATAAAAAAAAATTAAATATATAGAGGCAGCCCAGATGAGTAGGAGGAATGTCAACATAGCTGGCTGGTGGGGGATGGCAACCCCACAAAAAGCCCACACCTTTCACCTTTGAATCTCTCTCTCTCTCATCTCATCTCATCTCCTTCCTTTGTCCATTTCTAGTTTATTTTATTTTATAATTACTCTCTTCTTTCTTTTCACATGATTACCTACATTTTATATTATATATTTTACAGTGTAGTGTATAAAAACACACATATATAATATATATGTATGTGTGTATATATATATAATAAGCGGCCAAGCTGGCTGTGTGCGGGTGTTGTTGGAGTTGGAGGTGGATTGGGACTGCTGCTCTCCGCACAACTCTTTGAATCTCTTACAGCGAAGATGCCCTGTACACCACACACACCCCCTCACCTAGTTAATTTACTTACTTATAATAATTATATTTGTTGACGGTTGGATTTCGTCAACAATAAACCTGCTGAATTATCTTGGAGTTACCCTTTGAATTACCGGCTTGTAGGTTTAATAAAAGTGTGGATTCTAGTTTGATTTAAGTATTTTTGTGTTTGAATGAACTGTATGTAAATGAACAAGAAGAATTTTATAGTGGTTCACTCTATAAAATTAGAGCTACATCCACTGTGTATATTGTATTTCTTTTGTGGAGATTATAATTTACAATAAATGCTATCTCTCTCTCTTGTTCTTTCTCCTCTGGAATCTCTGGACCTCTTCCATATTGGGGGTCCTTCTTCTTTTATACTCGGGCTTCCTTCACTGGATGGGTTTCCTTCGTAGGTAGGAACACTCAAGTGCTCTCCCTCTCTAGGCCCAGACATAGCCCACTAATTAGTATTGTTCACTCAACCAATTAGTCTTCTATTACGGCTCTGTGACTCTCCGTAATACTTTTCTGTCCTCTGGGGGGGCGGTTTGTAAACTTGCAATTAATACTGTCAGACTTCTCTTACTTTTGCATGTAACCCATCGTGTCTTAAAGGGACGTTCCCCTCGTCGTCAGCGCTGTTTAGTCTTTCTCGCCCTTTTTAGCGATCTTTTCTGCAGTCGAGGGATCTTGTCGTGTCAACCCCGGCAGAGTCAACCGTCGACGCCTCATGGGGTCGTCGCCCTAATCATGGACTTCATCTTCGGGCTCTACGGCTGATCTTGAGGGAAACGAAGCGTCGAGGGTTGAGTGCTTGGCGGAAAGCAAATATAGCCACGTGTCGTAATACCGTTGATCCAGGTGTCCATCATATTTTCCCACACAATAATATTGTTATTAATAAAAGTAATAATAATATTTTCCCTTTTGTTTTTCCGCTCTAATTCCCCCCTCAACTAGCGGTACTAATTCTAATTCTACTGCTTTACGCCCCCACGAAAAACAATACTCTACTGATTATTTTACTTGTTTTTTATTTAAAAATGTATATATTTAAATATCAAAATAACAACTCACACTCTACGCTTTTTATCTTCCCCTTCTTCAATTCCTCTTCTGCTTCTCCCTCAATTCAACTTTTTTTTTTTTTCCTTTTATGGGCTTGCTTGTTTTTTATTATACATAACTAAATTTCGAAGCAAGCAAAGAGAGGAAAAAAAAAAAAAACAAGAGGAGATAAAAAGTTTGATAAGTTTATTTATAGGGATGAATTTGAAAAGGAAGAATCAAATTGAAATTGAAATTCAATAGAAGATAGTTGTAATAAACCCCTGATTCTGAAGAAGGGCTGAAACAAAGTGTTTTTGTCGGCGTAAGGTCACTTTTCTTGTCGGCATTCTCCTCACTCCTCTCTCTCTCTCTCTCTCTCTATTGCATTTGTATTTGTATTTGTATATATCCACTTCTTCTTCTTCTTCTTCTTTCTTAGCTATTATCTATCAAATCAAATTATCAATCAACATTTTCAATCCTAATCCAATTCCCAAATATTGCTTCATTTCTCTTTACCCATTTTTTATTCTTTCTTCGGTAATTGCTTCAATGTGGGAATGTGGGTGACAACATTAAATATAGATATAGAAAGTCGAATCTTTTGATCAAATTCTTGAGTGGCAAATGAAGCTTACTTTTCTAGTGATCTGGCTGCGTTTCTTCTCCGGTAATACAGGTCTGCTTTCTATCTCTGTTTTTTTTTTTTTTTTTTGTCCATTTATTTTCCTTTTCTATTTGATATTCCTAATGAGCTGTAAAGTTTCCTAATAAGGGAAGCTTTGAGTTTCAATCAAAATTTTTTTATTTATGTAAACTGATGATTCTAAAATTAGCCCAATTCAGTCAGTTTACTTGGAAGAAAAATTAACTTGTTCTGCCATTTATTCATGAATAAATGAAGATGTCATTATTTTTTTTTTAATTTTTAATTTTTAATTTTTTTTTGTATTGGCAGGGTCAATGTATGGTAATTGGTGTTACAATAACAATAACAAAAACAGAAACAAAAAATAATAGGTGAAAGGCATCCCAATACCAAATGTCAGCGACTCTTGCAGCAATACTAGGAGGTGCTGCAGGAGCCGTGGTATTGGTGGTTATAATTGTTCTCCTCATATGCTTCTGCCTTTCTCACCATAGGAGTCTTTCTAGAACTTCCGAGACCGGTTCTTCTGATCCTTCCATTCAAGGTAATCGTTCGCTTTCCCTAAATGATTTTCGTCGTCATCATTAGAGCCACTAGCTAATGCAAGAGCATACTATATGAGTCTATTATAACTATTCACGCTTGTTGTTACTCTGATCATAACTTGCAGCTGGAAGACATGCTGGGGTTGAGTTGTTGATACGAGAAACAAGGCGTTTTCAGATGGAAGAACTGTCTCACGCTACGAAAAATTTCAGCGACAAGAATTTGATCGGCCAAGGAAAGTTTGGGGAGGTATACAAGGGTTTGCTTCATGATGGGATGCTAGTTGCCATCAAGAAGAGATCTGGAGCGCCTACTCAAGAATTCATCGACGAGGTAATCATCATGTTCTGCACGACTCCACAGTTTTTACGTGATTCTAACTACACACACACGTGTGAAATTCGATTTCTTCCTTGGCTTGCTGTATCTTCCATGGAATAAATAGTTTACATTTCCGGAGCATTTGTATCTGTACCTTCTGATCACTACCAATCCTTGTGTTGTTTTGACCTATTGAATAATCAGGTACACTATCTCTCACCTATACAGCATCGGAATCTCGTTACTCTTTTGGGATACTGCCAGGAAAATAACCTACAGTTTCTTGTGTACGAATATATTCCTAATGGAAGTGTTTCCAGTCACTTGTACGGTAACTCTCTACCCAGTCAACGGTTTTGCTTTATCAGCTCATGAACATACTAATATCTTGCTTAAAACTTTCCTACTTCTCTAGTTCTTTAACTTGATTCGTGCAATATCAAGCCAGCTTATTTGTGCTGCTTCAATGTTCTTCTTATTTTACAATTTAGTTAAAGCCCATCTTCATAGTATCACTTCCAGCCCTTTTAAGATCCTCTAAATTTGTTTCCACAGGCGCAGGTCAACATTCACGCGAGAGGCTAGAATTCAAGCATAGACTTTCAATAGCTCTAGGGGCAGCTAAAGGTGATGCTCTGCAAAATCAGTGAGCATTTGTGGCTTTCCTGGTATCAGTTTTTCTTCTCTTTAGTTAAAAACACCCAAAATACCAGAATTGGTCCCACCAAATTCTTTTGTAAGCTTCCGCAAGAGTTTCAGTTGTTTTGTTTTGTAGACTTGTCTCCGTGTTATATGAAGGCTGCCCTCCTCATTTGTCTCAGATCATTCCTATTGTCGTCGCGCAGGTTTGGCCTTTCTTCATTCTCAGAGTCCCCGCTTGCTACATAAGGATTTCAAAACAGCCAACGTTCTTGTAGACGAAAATTTCATCGCCAAGGTTGCAGATGCTGGACTCAGGAATTTCCTAGGAAGAGTCAGTATTGCTGGTCCTTCTTCTCAAGTGACAGCCGATGAAATCTTTCTTGCCCCAGAGTATTATTCTTTCTTATTGTAGTCTCTGTCTTTCCAATAACCATGTGGTCTATTTACAGTTCTGAATTTCCCTCATGCAGGGTGAAAGAGTTCAGACGATTTTCCGAGAAAAGTGATGTCTATAGTTTTGGAGTATTCCTTCTTGAGCTAGTGAGCGGGCAAGAAGCAACAGAAGCTGCATTGTCCAATTCGAGTCAGAACCTGGTTGAGTGGGTATGTGATATGCACGGTATTAATAAATTTGACCCTGCAGGTGCAATATGCAGCTGCATATCGTTTTGAGCATGGCTATTTATCACCACTAGTAATGCGTCACCGAAGAGACTCACATAGAAAAAAGTAAAAGAATTGAGTTCAACTTTGTTACGTGACAATTATATGTGGTGATTGCTTCACAAATATGTTTAGGCTAACATACGTTGATTGTTCAATGAAAACGTTTGTTGAAACTTGTTTTGAAAGGTGCAAAATGTGGAAGATAATAGCAACATGTCAAGCATAATAGATGAGAGAATGGGGAATAGCTTCACAGCAGAAGGGATGGAAGAGGTGATAGAGTTGATAATCCAATGCGTTCAACCTTCAAGCGAGAGGCTTCCAGTGATGAGTTATGTGGTGATGCAAATTGACAAGATTCTTGAGAAAGAGATGAGCTTGACCACTGTCATGGGTGAAGCCACCCCAACTGTCATCCTTGGAAGTCAGTTATTTAAAGCCTCCAAATAAAATCTTTATATATATATATATATATACACGCGCACACACACATATATATATATATAAAAGAAATCATCATTGTTTGCGTTCCAAGAGTTAAATAAAACTGTTAAGAGTGCCATATTTGTGAAATACTCGTGTTATTATTCTTTTTTTTCCTAATTACCTTTTACACCAGATTTGAAGAGATCCAGCTGTAAGATAAGTGTATAAAGAACAGCTGCATTTTTTTTTTCTTTTTTTTCCCCCACAGTTTTGATAAATCTTATTGTAAAAATAAAACCATTATTTGCTAATATTAAAGTGGAAGCCGGTGTGATTTTTGCCTATTATGGTCTGTTTCTCCTTTCAATGACCGTCTCTATGGGTCACCTTTTTTTTTTTCTGGCTGAATATTTCTGCAAGAGGAACCATTTTATAGACTACCATTACCATAAAAATTAAATCAAGGCCCTTCTTTGTTCATGATAATAATCTAGGTGAGAAGAATAATGAAGGGAAAGAACCTTTGCTTCGTGATGATTCCTATGAGAGAAAAAATGAATTAAGTAAATATCACTTTTCTTGTTTCGTATAGAGATGCAAGGAAAGAGAAAGGAATGATTTTGATTTTATTTGTAGTTTGTACAGTTAGTTCGTTACTTTCATTCAATATTAAGTGGATTACGAACTATTTATTTTGATTCTTGAGCCAATTAAGTGGAAGCTATCAATTGTTAACATATTTATGAAGAATTTCAGTCCCTCATTCAATCCACCGTCTTATCTGATGTAATATCCATCCTTTTTTTTTTTAAATAAAAAAAAAAATCCTTCCACTTCCACTGATCTACTCATCCCTATCCTTGCTTTCACTTTTTATCTCCTACCAAACAAGTCCTAACAAAATGGTGTCTCTCCTCCCTTTCGTGTGCACAAGAAGTTTAAGGAAAGACTTGTCGCCCCAAAGCAAAGCTGAATTAAATGCGATTCTGGTGGTTGGTTCATCCATCCAAAAGGCTTTTTTATTCTGAGAACTCTCGAGTCCTGAGGCTGAGCCGTGTTCATACCTCACGTTAGAATCCCTATCCCCTCAATCTGGTGGCACTTCACTTTTATACTTGACAAAAACAAAACTATGAACATCATCTCTTCGTACGTTATTAAAATCTACCCAAATTATAATAATAATATTGTTCTTTATACCCTTGCCAAATAGTGAAACTATAACCAAAAGAAAAATTTACATTTCATTTCTTCTTTTGCTTAATAAGGAAACAAAAAACTTTAAAAATAATTATGAAATTCACATATTGGTGTAAAACATCTTCAGGGATAATCACAAGAGTGTTTCCTCCAAAAAGTGACGTTGTGAACCCTGTCGTCAGGACATCTCTTTCTACTCCACAAGGTGAGCTCTGAATTCCTTTCCTCCCTGATCCATAATCATCCCAGAATCAATGACAGTTTTCCTACCTTCATTGAAACAACGAAACGCATTAATTGGTCCAATTCAAAAACTTAAAAAAGAGAAAAAGAAGACAATGCCACTTCCTCTTAGCCTCCACATACCACAAATCAAAGCGACAGAAGAATGGTTTATTACTTAACACGACATGGTTACTAGGATGGCAACACAAATTTTTACCGTATGTGGTTACAAACTTCTCATGTTGACATAATTATCAACCTAGTTTAACGCCTTGTTTGGTAGGAGGGAAAAGTTAAGGGAGTGAGAGGGTGGGAGGATTAGTAAATGGATTGGAGAATGGAAACCATACTAAACACAAAATGAAAAAAGTCCTCACCTTTCTCTATATTTCTTCTAGGTTATTAGTTATATACCTGTTCTTCCTTCCTATTTTTTCCCTCTTACCAAACACTGCATCATGGACCATTCTAAGAAAGTGAAATAATGGTACCACAAAGGAATGCAGTTTTGAACATTGCCGTGCAACTGGAAAATTGTTAGACTAAACCTTTACGCAAATACTGCACCAAAAGAATTCAGGAAATCTACTTACACATACCATAACCAACAAGTCATCAATGCCTTCCCTTCATATCTTGAAAATCTTTTGGAATCTGATGGATTGTGAGGACTTTTGTGTTGAAGAAAACCTTTCCCCGTGGGTTAAAGCTTCATCCTGGACTGTTAATGAAATTTTGGTGAGAATCAGCAGCTATCTCATCTCTCTGCCTCTGTCTGTGGTCTACTAGCACTACTGCCAACAGAATACGTAAGAAATAAACACAGGGTTATTGACGGATCAATAAGCAGTAAACGCGTCATTCCCATCATCTCAAGTAAATGTGAAATAAAAAATTGGAAGAAATTATCCACAAGCACCTCTATAAGCGCAGCAGAGAAGTTACCGTTTATAGTAAGACTACTATCAAGTTAATGGGGAGATAAAGATAAATTAAATGAGCCATTCTGGTTAATTTGATGCGTCCAGGTTTTAGCCAAATTTTATGACTTGTACAAATTGAAATATCTAATAACAAAAAGTGATAATAATTAAAAGGTTGGCACGACAACTGGGGACGATGTTCCAAGAACAACAGAGGAATTTGGATAAATCGGTTCCTCAAAAGTCAATAGTAACATTTTTTATGACTTTCAGATATCTACGGGAAGTTGGTAATATTAACGTTTCTCTTCCTTGTGCTGAGAAAAGCACATGCCGACACGTTAAATCTCATCATAAGAAGAGAGGCAAAAAAAGCTTTAAAAAAATATATGTATATCACGCAATTTGATTTGAACCAGTGAAACAAGTGGTGAAGAAATTACAAGTTTGACGGAGGAGCGTAGCTCTGGCCCTGTTGACGGTGTTAAAGCAAAGGCATATGTATTCCTCAAGATCCTTGAGCTGATGGAGAAAACTTTGATGGTTCTTGCGCAGCTGTTTGAGCACCTCCTGGATGGGATGCCTATCTTTGCCACTCTCCAAAACTAGGCGAACAAGAAGCTTGTCTCCGTCGACGGCTGCATGCAGGCGGGCCACGAGGCGTTCGATTGTGTGGAGGTCACTGTTGAGGACGTAAGTGCCCTTGGCAGCTGCATCCAGCTGCGCCATTTGGGCAACCTCTTTGTGAACCAACCTGGGAGGAGGAGGCGGCAATGCGGCGCAGGAGGGACCAGCAACAAGAGCAGCGAGAGTACGGACAGAGACGGTAATCGCAGTTATGGCAATTGAACAAACATAAGAGCCTGCAGATAGCAGTGTTGGAAAGATCAAGCAAACTGCAAAAACCGTACAAACTAAACCAATGGGCTTTTATTTTTAATTGGTTTGATATTCGAACCTGCAGAGGCACGGCAAAAGAGGCGGACTGCAGAGCGTGAATTGCGAAGGCGGTGATCGAGCTGTTGCTTGAGTTGAGAAAAGCATCCGTGTATGTGGTCGAAGTTTTGGGAGTCGGGGGAAGGGAAGGGGTTTTCAGCAGTGTCGAATTGGAGGAAGACGTTGAAGGCCCGATCACATTGGGATTGGCTGAGGCTGGGGGAATCGTCAGATGGTAGAAGGCCGAGGAGGGCGTGTAAGGGGGCGTAGAGGGCGCGGGCTTGGAAGAGGCAGCGGTGGAGGAGGAGGTAAAGATGGGTGGTGTTCTCACTGTGGTCGAAGTAGGCGGAGACGAGGCGCGTGAGGGCGTTGGGCTTGGCGTGACGGAGGGCCGCTTCCACACATTCCCTGTTGGGTTGAAGCACCCGTTCCAACAGCAATACTTGACCCTCCTGCTGCTGCTGGTGATGGTGGTGGTCATCAACGTGGTGCTCCCGAATGGTAGTCCAAATCTCATTGTATGAGTTTGATTGCAGAGCGAGGCTGTACTCTCGACGAGCGAGATTCACAGCCGGTGAGGAGTGTGCACTTGATGCGGGTGTGTTGTCGGTGGAATCACCTGATTCAAAGAACCAACTTAGTTTAGGCATTTTCGCAAACAGGTCGTGGGCATATCATATATAGAAGCTAGAAAGAATAATTTTCAACACCAAGTTCACCGAGGCATTTATTTTTCACAAGAGGTCGTGGGCATAGATAGAAGCAATAGCAATACTATAGGAAAAGAAGCATTGTTTGGAAAGAAAGAAGGAAAGAAGGAAGAAGAATCGTACCTTGGGGTTGGGGTTGGGAGGAGGGAAGAGAATAAGAATGGAAATCGGAAAGTGACGGAGAGGCGGCGGATGATGAGTTGAGGGTGAGACACTTGAGCATCTGATCTTGGATCTGGTGATCGTCAAGTCAATCAATAATTAATAATTACTAAATAATTGTTTGATTGACCCCTCTCTTAGTCACTGCTCTGCACCCCACACCATGACCAAGCAACTCACCACTCAACGGTTCAACTGTCAATCCACCCAAATTATTCCCTCAAAAAAAAAAAAAAAAAAACAATAAGTTAAGTTTTTTATTTATTAAATTTACATAAAATTACGTAAAAATTAAAAAATATATAAATTTATTAATTAAAAAAATTTGACATACTTGTATTCCAGACATATTAAAAAATTTCCTAAAAAATTATATTATTTTGATGTGGTATAAGCATGGACAAAAATTTCGTCGAAATTTCTGAAACTTCAGCGGAAATTTCATATTTTTTTGGGTCTCGAAATTTTTTTCCATTATAATATCGATATCGACAAAATATCAATAAATATCAATCAAAATGTTAATATCAGTTTGCATGTAGAGTAATTGGAGCAGAATATCAAGAAATTTGAGAAAATTTCAGTGATTTTGGAAACGGAAATTTTAGGTTTTTTTTTAAATTTGCTTTATAATATCTATTTTTTTATATTATTTCTTTTGTTATCTAATAAGGAGAGCGAAAAATATCAACAATACAATCATCTGATGAAACAATTGATGAATTTATGTTCTAATTATTACAGCTCTTCTAAAAGACTCCTAACATTCATTATCCATATAATCATAATTTTAGAAACTATGATAGATATGGAATTTTCAACTATCCTCAGCCGAACATACCACCATCATCTTAAGCAAACGATTGGGCCCGTTTAGTTCGCTGATTCGAGTTTTTAATTCGAGTTGAGATGTGATTTTATGTGAGAGCTTTTTACTGTAGCAAAAAAGTTAGATGTGATTGTTTGTGAGAGCTTTTTACTGTAGCAAAACTCGAATTCTAAACTCGAATCAGCGAAATGAACAGGGCTTGGTGGGAATGGCTTAACAAACCTTCATGTGGCACGTTCATAACTTTGTTCGACGTTATTCAAATAACATGTCATAATACTAATATTATTTGAATCAAGATGGGATCCTGATCACATTGAGTCTCATGGAACTTCCTCTTGGTATTAAGAAATGTAATATGTATGAGATTTTTTATATAAAACTTGTTTATTTATGTATCTTTTTAATGTTGATGCTATCAGAAAGTATTAAAAATATGTTATAATGTAAATTTTCGTCATTTCTATAAATTTTTTTGATATTTTCACCGATATCGATATTTCTCCGATATTTTTGTAAAATTGGAATATCGATATTTCTACCGACATCTTTTCTTTCTTCTTTTTTTAAAAAAAAAGGGGTTGTCATTTGAGTAGCTAATAGAGAAATGAATGATTTTAATTTCATCTCCAATATTAAACATGTTGTGCACCAATGTCTGTATAATGTTGTTTCAAATATTAAATCTTATTTTTTTTATTATAATCATTAAATTTTGAAAGTTTTAAAAATACACTTGTAATTTATAAAATTAAAATGTTGCAATTATTAAAGAGAAATAACAAATAAACACGGTCTCGTTTATTATGGTGGAGTGGCTGCTTTTTAATCAAACTAAATAAAATAACAATAAAACTAAACGAAATATTCGATACAATTACAAAAGCACATTATTGATATGCTTTTACAGCCCATTGTTAAAATAATTTATTTACGAGTAAGGGTGACAATTTAGGTTAGTAATTTGTATTTATGTCAACTCATTTATTAATCGTATAAAAAAATATGAATATAAATACGATCTGTTTATTAAACATGTTAAAAATGTCAATTCAAACACGACCTATTTATTAATTTTGTTAATCGTGTGAATTCATATAATCCGTTTAAATTAATATATTAAATAAATAATATAATATAATAATAATTTATTTAACACGATCAAGACAGGTTTAACATGTTTATTGGTTAATTTATATTTTTTTTAAGAAAAATAAATGAATTTTACCTACAAATATTAAAATTCACATTATTTGAATTTAATATGTCATATAAACTTTCACGTTATATCACATAAGATTAGATTGCATATGACACATATAGTTAATCGTGTCATTTCGTGAGGCTAACCCTAACCCAACTCATTTATTAATCGTGTCAACCTGATTATGACCCAAACTCATTTATAGTAAACTAAAACCCACTAATTTTGTGCGAATTTCGAGTTGTGTCGTCGTGTCACTACTCAGATTGGCAGCCCTATTTGCGAGAGATCATAGACGTGCATGTACCATCCATGCCACATGCATTTACATGTGTGGTCCTTTTGCTCAACTGACATGAATGATTTTTTAAAATTAAATTGGGTACGTTTCTGCTGTCTATAGATTGCTATGCTCAAATAATTATTTATTTGTATTCGATCGGTTATATAATACTTTGCTTGAGATCGGATTTATTTTTAAAGTTCTCAAATTTATTGAAGCAAATGGAGAGGATCGAGATGATTATACATGTCGAATATCCGCAATATTGTCATGCCTATACCTAAAGTCATTTGACATAGTTACATAATTAAGGTTTTATTTATTTCACTGATTCGAGTTTTGTTATAATAAAAAATTCTTATAAATAATTATATCTAACTTTTTTACTACAGTAAAAAATCCTCATATAAAATTACATTTCAACTGAAATAAGTGGACTAAATAAGCTCCTCATTTCAAGACTATAAAATGACCAGCTAACCTGCAATTTGCAAACTTAATGGAATCTAACGTTGGAATATAACATTGTTTTCCTCGTCCCTTTTGGAATCTAACATTATTTAATCATCTAACTATTATTTTGTTTCACACAAAAAAAAAAAAAAAAAAAAAACTTGTTTTCTTTTTTTGAGCAGTTTCCAAGTGAAGAAACAAAGAAAAACAGAAAAATCAGACACCTGACAGACATTCAACTCGATTCCTGGGTCATGGTTTCTCGTGTCCCTCAGGATGTGCTTACCATCACACGTGGACATGGCTTTTCGTATTACAATAACCATTATCACAATCCCCTTCTTTTCATTTATTCAAATTTTATTAAAGTAAATATTTTTAAAAAATAGTTATATTTAATTTTTTTATTATAATAAAAAATTTTTATGTAATGTCACATCTCAACTCGAATTAAAAATTCAAATCAGTGAACTAAACGAGCCAAATATTTCATGCTCTACTCATAATTTTGGCTTTACCTGCATTATGTACTGTGTAGTATTTAGGCCTTCAAGTTATAACAAAAGGCAATAGCTTCTTAAAAAAAAAAATTAATTTCAAAAATTATCTCTGAATTATGATTTCTTTTGCGAATTCTGTTAGTTATTGTAACAGAAAGAGAAAACTTATTAACCGAATAAAATTAAGAAAAAGTGAATGTTATTTTTTAAAATTTAAAAAATAAAGTGTTAAAGGGGTGGAAGAATTTTTAAAATTAATTAAAATAAAATTAAGGGCAATAACTTATAAACATACCAATTGTTGTTAAGTCGTACAATTTTATATTTGATATGTCCATTCATTTCAGAAGTTCGAGTATTTAATTTTAATTTTATTACAGTTAAAAATTTTTATAAATAATCACATATATGAAAAAAAAAATAGTAGGAAAAAAAAAAGATTGGTTTGCAGTTTGGTGTAAAGTGGATGGACTCTCTCTTTCAGTTGCAATGTTTGCTTTAACAATTTGAGGAAGAATGAGGAGTAATTAAGGACAGCTTGTCTGATATCTTGTCGTTTTAAGAAGATGTGAATACATTATTATCAAAAGCGAGTGGATATTATGTGCACTGCATATGAAGCTTCCCACTGTTATTTATTTATTTATTTTGCTTGAAATATGAAGCTTCCCGCTTCCCAGCGAAAAAAGAAATCCCTACAAAAATGTAAAAATTTAATAAAAATAAAAATAAAAATAAGCAAAATTCAACAAGGTCTTCTGTGTCCACAAAAAGTCAGAAACGGAAACCAAATGCAAAAGTGATAGAGCATGGACATGATTAGTTGTAGGTGGCTGAGTTTACAATTAAAATGTTTTATTTAGGCTAAACCAATTATAGCAAACGACAATTAAACATATGATAATAATTATAGTACTACTACTACAGTACTACCGCAATGCAAGATAGGAATAGGAACTTGCAAACTTTTTATCTGGTTATTAGCATTTAAACCTATTAGTCAGTGGTCCCCCCTAAAAGGTTTAATTTAAGATAATTAGGCGTAAAACAAATTAAACAAATTAAACAAACTTTGAGAAATAAAATAATAATAAATATTGAACTAAAGAGAAAGGGAAGAAGAAGAAGAAGAAGACATGCATGTGACTACTGTGTGAGGTGAGACAAAAAGAAAAGAAAAGAAAAACGGATGAAAATTAATAAAGGGAATAAAATAATGAAGTAATAGCGTTGCTTACGCCGGCTCTTTTTGTCTTTGCTGCCTTATGACCTTTTTCTACTTTGGAGTTTGAACTTGGGAGCTTTACTTGCCATTTTGTGTTTGTTGTTGTTGCACTTGCACACTTATTTCAGACTCTCTCTCTCTCTCTCTCTCTCGTCGTGTCTCTCCAATGGCTTCTCCAACATTTCAATTTTGAAATCAAAAACCTTTTCCTTTATTTTATTTCACCAAAGAAAGAAACATGGAGTACTGGCCGGTGCCATGGCTTTTGAGCATCATCATCATCCTCCCAATATTGATATCAGCTGTCTCTTCATCATCATCCGATGCAGCGTCTCTTCTGAGCTTCAAGAACTCCATCACAGCCGACCCTTCCGGTATCTTCTCCTCATGGAATAATACTTCTTCGTCCTCCGACACCGCTGACCACTTCTGCCACTGGCGCGGCGTCACCTGCCACCCACATTCTCGCCGAGTCTTCTCTCTCGACCTCTCCTCCGCCGCCCTCGCCGGCACCTTGTCTTTGTCTTGGCCTAATTCACTCGCCAACCTCACACACCTCCGCCTCCTCAATCTCTCCTCCAACCGCTTCTCAGGTCCCGTCCCCGACAACCTCATCGGCTTCGGAAAATTATCATCTATCGACTTGTCCAACAACCAGTTCTCCGGAAGAATCCCGGTGGACTCGGATTCTCCCTGCGAGAACTTAAGGCATTTGAAGCTCTCCACTAACTTCTTGACGCATGAAATCCCCGCCGCCATCGGAAAATGCAGGACGCTGAGGACACTCTTACTCGACGCCAACATTTTAGAAGGCCAGATCCCGCCCCAACTTGGACTCTTGTCGGAGCTTCGTGTTCTAGACGTTTCTAGAAACAGCCTCACCGGTAGGATTCCTCAAGACTTAGCCAACTGTCGTCAATTACGTGCTCTGGTGCTCACCAATCTGGCTCAAGATTACTACTCCAATGGCTCCCTCGACACCGCTCGAGGAGAATTCAATGCGTTTGTGGGATCCATTCCTTCTGAGCTGCTGTCACTTCCCAGCTTGCGGATTGTGTGGGCCCCCAGGGCCAATCTCGCCGGCAGACTCCCCACCAATTGGACCAATTCCTGCTCCCTCAGAGTTGTCAATCTGGGACAGAATTACATCACTGGATTTCTACCGGACAGCCTCAACATGTGTAGAAATCTCAGTTTCTTAGATCTGAGTTCCAACAACTTGCGGGCTTCTCTCCCACTGCAACTCCGAATCCCATGTATGCTCTACTTCAACATCAGCTGGAACCAGATGTCCGGTGTTCTTCCGAAAGACGGTCAGCGCGGTTGCGATGCCAATTCGGGATTGGATTTGGAATCAGAAGACTTTCTGAATGCCTACTCCAGCCAATTCGGATTTGACAATGCTACTGTAGTGCATGATTTTAGTTGGAACAGATTCGTGGGTCCATTACCTTTGTTCTCAGTATCCGCGACAAAGATTAATGGGGGCTTGTCATACAGATTGTTGCTGAATAGTAACAAGTTCAGTGGGTCAGTACCTGCCGGGATGGTTCCGCAGTGTAACGATTTCAAGAGCTTATCAATAAACCTGACTTCCAACGAATTATCAGGTGAGATTTATCACTCCTCGCTGGTTAACTGTGTTAAGCTAACAGCTTTAGAAGCAGCTCACAATCAGATTAGCGGCTCACTTGGTCCTTCCATTGCTAACTTGATGATGCTTCAACGTATTGACTTGAGAGGGAACAGGTTATCTGACTCTCTGCCTGGTGAGTTTGGCAGCTTGAAAAGCCTTAAGTGGTTGCTTTTAGGAGGAAACAATTTCACGGGAAGAATTCCTTCTACACTTGGTCACTTGACTTCTCTTTTGGTTTTGGATCTATCCCACAATGTTTTAACTGGATCTGTACCTGCAACCTTGGCTGAATCCTCCGCAGTCGAAACGGTTTTGCTTGATCACAACCGCCTATATGGAGAGCTACCATCTTCTTTCTCAAATCTCTCCAAGCTTACTAAACTCGATGTTTCCTTTAACAACCTTTCTGGTTTTGTCCCCCATCTTCAACACATTACTGATTGTGATTCCTTCGAGGGAAATAGGTATCTGAACTGTTGCTCCTCTCCACCTACGAAACTCCCTGTTCCACTAGAAATTCACAAACGGCGTAAAAAGCACAACAAGGCTTTGATAATTGCTGCAGTAACTTGCTCCTCAGTCATTGTGTTTGCGCTTGCGGTGCTGGTTTTGTCCCTAGTTTTTGGAACAAGAAAGCTTGTGGCACTCAATAGCATCAGCATGAGGAGGAAAGTAGTAGTGACCTTTGCCAATTCTCCAAGCGACTTGACTTATGACAATGTGGTTAGAGCAACTGGGAGTTTCAGCATTCAGAATCTAATTGGCACTGGTGGCTTCGGATCGACTTACAAGGCTGAGTTGGCCCCAGGCTTCCTAGTCGCCGTGAAGAGGCTTTCGATAGGGAGGTTCCAAGGCGTCCAACAATTTGACGCGGAGATAAGAACATTAGGTAGGATTCGCCACAAGAATCTTGTGACCCTCATTGGATATTATGTTGGAGAGAGTGAGATGTTGTTGATATACAATTACCTATCTGGTGGGAATCTTGACACCTTCATACATGACATTGGCTATAGGTCAGGCAAAAGGGTAACCTGGCGGGTGATCCACAAAATAGCTACGGACGTTGCGCAGGCTATCGCCTACCTTCACTACTCTTGTGTCCCATGGATTGTGCATCGTGATATTAAGCCTAGCAACATCTTACTGGATGAGCAGCTCAATGCCTACCTCTCCGACTTCGGCTTAGCCAGGCTTCTTGAGGTTTCAGAAACGCACGCGACCACTGATGTGGCCGGAACGTTTGGATATGTGGCGCCAGAGTATGCCACGACTTGCCGGGTGTCGGACAAGGCAGATGTTTATAGTTTTGGAGTTGTGCTGTTGGAGCTGATGTCAGGGAAAAAGTCGCTTGATCCGTCGTTTTCGGAGTATGGAAATGGATTCAACATAGTTGCTTGGGCCAAGTTACTAATAAAGGAAGGGCGTTGCTCTGAGGTATTTTGTCTGGAGTTGCGGGAATCCGAAGAAGAGGAGAAGGAGAAGTTGTTGGAGCTACTGCGGCTTGCGTCGACCTGCACGGTGGAGTCGCCGCTTTCTGTTAGGCCATCGATGAAGCAGGTCCTTGACAAGTTGAAACAGTTGAAAAACTTGAGAGAAGGAGAAAAGCCATCGACTCCCAATTGAATGATTGGAGTGGAAGGGTGAAGCTGCTCACTTCTACATGGTTCTGAGGTGTGAATGCCATTCTATTTTTATCAATTGTGTTTAAGGTTTCTACTTTCTGTTTGCTTACTTGATATGCAAGAATAAAAGAAAATCTGACGACACGAGTATTAAGTCTAACTTTTCTTCTTCATTTTCAGGTGAAATTTCCAGTGGTGAGTTTGCATCCTGGTTTGCCGTTCTCCGTTCTCGCAACTAAAGGTTTGCTTATATTTTCTTCTCAAAACACGCAAATGCAAACTCAATGCAAATCTTGCTAACAAAAGTTCACATCTTTAATTTGCTTTCAGGTTGTTGCAGACCAAACTAATAGTTAACTACATGGGATCAATGGAAACAAATGAAGCAGAATGTGGTACTGGCTCTTTCTTTCTGGTGCTTTTTGAGCACTCACATCTTTATAACTGACAACATACAAAAATCATTCTATGCAGCAATGTTCATCCTAAAATCTGCTATTGTATTTACGGACCTTATATATCCTATGCTAAATTTCTTCTTTATTGCTAACATCATTGAACAAGTTTGATCGTTGCAGTTCCATGATTTTTTCCCTGATTATGTCGATGTAGTCTTGTGCTGATTCCTCTTCTTCTTCTAAACTCTGAGCCCTGAAGCATTTGAAATAGTAAGATCTTAGATTCAACATGGGCATGGTAGAGGCTGATATTAAGCTGAACCTTATTTACAAAATTTTGACCAAAAAAAAAAAAAAAAAAAACTAAATTTACTCACTCAGTTGGGGGACAAGGCAAATTTTTTGCAAATCTCGCTCCTTCTGTGGCATTGAGGACAACCTCCTCCGTGGTAACACCAATTATCTCGTTCGCTTTCTTCAAATCAACGCATGAATACCTTCCAGTACTATCCTGAGAGTGAGAGGTACCTTGCAATTGCATTAATATCCTCCCTCGGAAAGAAAGAGGGAAATTCAATTCATAACAGAGAGCGTGAAAATGAAGAAACGGAAAAAAATGGAGGTAAATCTCACCCGAGAAACGATTCCCAACTTCTCCAACTTTTGAACTGCATCATCGACATCAAAATTACAGCGCTCGCCAAATTCTTCTTTGATAAGTTGCTCGCACCGCGTATCAAGATCCTATTCCACAGCGTCACAAAGTTATGAAACAAACAATTTCTCTAAAAGGGACTCACGATGAATACCTGTCTGGCAGATCTTCCGTGCTTCCTTAGTATGAAGAATGAGATGATAACCTCTTTTACCTGAAAATTCACACAGTTACCTACTTTTAGCAAATAATCAGGCATGCAACGATATTAGCATCAAGTTTGAGAACTTAACAATATATCAAGAGGCCTAATGATCTCTCATTACACCTTAACAACAAAAAAAAAAAAAAAAAAAAAACCCTGAAATTGAATAAAAAGTGTAGTAAAAGCAAACTAATTAACTTCTGGGGGGTGATAGTGGTACTTACTTCCTGTTGAATGACTTCATCACACAGGTGAAGAAGAGTGCCCCTTCCACTATCCAACTGTTTGTCGTAGACGGACTGCATGATTAAGCTCTGATATGCAACCAAGTTCTTCTGAAACCTATGGACTTGAAGATTAAACATTAGTCATGTCAGGAACAAGAAAGTCGCCTACCCCTAGTTACGTAAATAGCATTTTAATTGTATCACTAGCAGACATTTAGACCAGGATCCCCAGTCTTTGAGATAATTATGATCTATTTCTCTTGTAAGGACATTAAGAAAAGCCCTTGTTCTTTTTTTGTCATAAATTAGCATATAGCCTGTGGTAATACACAAACACAAACGCGAAAGAAGAGGAAGGAGAATGCTTGCAAGCTTAGCCTAACAGTAAATCCATACACATCTTAATATATTGAGGTCCAGTGTTCAAACCTCCCCACCTCCAAGTTCAAGAAAAAAATAATAATAATATTAAGAAGGAGAAGACATTACGAGAAATATGTTTTGATGCAGTAACCAAACACAGCTGAGAGGACAGCAAAGATAACCCGGATATCGACTTTAGGAATGCTAATTGAACTAATAACGGTCGCCTGAACAGAGAAAAAAAAAAAAAAAAAAAAAGAAGAAGAAAATTGACTCAGAAATGATTAATCACGTCAAAAAAAAAAAAAAAAAAAGGACTGTTTGTTTAATACATTGATTTCCAACCCTTAGAAAAACTAACCAGCCCTACAGCAGCAGAAACAAGAAATTTGACCCAGTCCATTGGAGTTAAACTAGGATTTTTCTTTTCTGGCTGTCAAAAAGGGAAAAAAGAAATATTGCATTACCAGTCAATAGTCGAATTTGAGCTCTGATAAGCAGTTGCATAGTAATTTAAATATCCTTAAGCCATTGACACAGGCATTTAGAGTAATTACAAACTCACAAGTACTATCTCCAAATCAGCCATTGGAATGTTCTTGAAATGCTTCACGTATATGCCCCTTTCATTTTCCTTTCTGGTTTTTGCACGCCTGCATAATTGGCTTTCTCGTCAGAAATCAACATTTATTATCACATTGATCACAAACAATAACTTGTGACAGTTTATAAAGAATATGCCCCTGTAGCCCTTAGATTAGCACCTATGCTATTGTAAAAACTCCCTTTTAGAAGTACCCTTGTGTAATTAGTAATGTCAATTGTCAGTGCTGTTTCACATCCACCCTTTTGTGGTCAACCATGTAAGAACAAAAGTCAACTAGGTTCTTAGACGTATAAGATATATTTTTCCTGTGCAAACACCAAAAGCGTTACTTAAAAAGAAAAGGGAAGAAAAGAGGAGAAAGGCTACCTGTACACAACAATTATTCTATCAAATGTAGGTTCTTGGATGGTGATTCTCCTCAACAGCTTAGTTATACTGGAGGATAATTAAGAGCAAGAATGCATGAAAAACAGGTAATTAGAGAACTGAATTTTTGAAAACCATGAACATGATCAATCAAAAAGTTTCCACTTAAAACCTCATGAGTTTCATTTTCTCTATACGAATCCTTTCCACATATAAGCCCTCTCGCTCATCTTCAATGCTAATCTCTATGGTTTTTGACGCATCCTTTGTAGAGTTCTTGCCACCTGACTTTCCAAAGAAAAGTCTTTTTAGCCTGCAAGTTGGACAGGAAGATATATAGGAAGAGCTCATTGCTTTACTGTAGCTCAAAGATCAAAAGCTGATATATATATATATATATATATCTAGTTTCCTACGGTTAACTTATAGAAATATCGAGTTTCAGAACATGAATGAAGTGGTGCACTTACCCTGTCACCGTGAGAAAAAATCTCCATATTCGCAGAATGATTGTATTCACTTTGGCTTGAAAAAAGAAAGCGGTTGTGTGGTCAATCCCAATGCCTCGTCGGAAGATTATGTACTGCAAATGAATTTGTGTGAGTCTTCATACAAGGGACTAAAATGGCAATCACAGATCTTCCCCTTTACTTCTAAACCATGAAAAGGACTTAATTCTAAAGTGAGTGAATACCTTGTCAGCAAAATGTGGAAGATCGTCTTTGGGATACTTCATGAAATACCTTGTTAGGAGCCTCTTATCCAGCTACAATTAACTCATCCAAAAATAAAACTTATAAATATAAATCACCACCCGAGAGATGCTTGCTAGATGATTTCTACTATAATTTATATTTCATATGTATAGGCCAAAGCTGCAGGTATTCAACAGGACCAGTTTCTCAGTGCATACCTTGGATTCATCAACGACGATAGGGAGATTTAGACGATATTGTGCGGAAAGTGCCACCTCAATTTCACCATCTGTTGTTATCTTGAAGTTGCTCTTCTCCATTATCTTCATGGAATGGAAATTATTAGCATGCATGTTGAACAACAAGTTCTATGATCCGAGTTAAATAAATCATAATTAAGGAGTTGTCGAAGAACCTTCATTAAGTGAGAAAGGAAACTCTGCTCAAAATCATCAATTTCTTCAGGAGATAAGTTGTGTTGCTCCAATTTCCGAGCCCCATGGATGGGGTCAAATAGAGCATACAGTTGCTGACAATCACAATAGTCACATATACATGTATATAATATATATGCTCCTAACAGAACCAAAGAAATAAAGGAGATGTATAGTATATAACAATAGTACCATCAAATCCTCAAATTGTAGGAGATACCAAGCTCTAATGGTGCATTCAACTCTCTGGCAAAACTTTGCAAACTCAGCCCTCTCAGAAGTATTTTCTGCATATATATATATATATATATATATGTATATATATATATATATATATGTATATATATATATATATATGTATGTATGTATATATCAATGTTGTGCGTCAATATCTCAAAGTGGGATTTTCATGTTAACATAAAATGATCAGCAAAAGCTAATTCCTGAAATACAATACGTATATGAATTATATATGTTTGTAATTTGCATGTATATCATGGTACGTACCAAAGTTGTAGGACAACGTATTGATGAGCCTGGACTTAAGGATTGGTACGACCGACTCGCTCTCCAATCGAATCATATCTTTCTTCTTCTTTTTCCCCATTGTTTGTTTGCCTTTTCTTTTTTTTTTTTACCTGAAACTATTTCTTCTTAATCTGATCTGGTCTCTATAGGTATATATGTGACCCTACATTTTTAACATTACCACCTTACTTTATATTCCTGTTCATCAGGCAAATTCTTCTCTCCCTCCCCCGCTCTCTCTCTCTCTCTCTCTCTCAGATGGCAAATTCACCGTTTTTCTCAAAACGTTCAGTCCACGTGTTGCACAGTACTAGGTCATGATTTCTTATGTTGAATATTTGTCAGCCATGCAAAAGCTTAGATAATAGACGTACTTGGATACATACATACCAGCCGTATACAAGCTACAGTTAAACCAATTTAATGATTTTCATTTATTTGACAAATAGAAAGTAGATCATGTGCATTAATCTCACGTCGAGAGTGAGAGCCCACTTATCCACTAAGGTCATATTTGGTAGCTTATATTGTGTCGTGTTATATAAAGTGTATTGTATTGTGTTATATTGTCATAATATAATACAATATTTGGTATGATAATGTATTGTATAATGGGGTTAAAATATAAAATTTTAATAATTTTGGAGTCAAAATGTAATTTTTGTAAAATGTTGGGGTCAAAATATAATTTTTCAAAAATTTTGGAGTCAAAATGAAATTTTATAAAAAATTTAAGGTCAAAGTGTAATTTTGAAAAAGTATTGGGGTCAAAATATAATTTTATAAAAGTTTTGAGGTAAAAATATAATTTTTTAAAAAATATATAAAATTGCATTGTGCCCCAAAGTTTTCAATAATTATAAGCTCCGGTATTACTCTATGTCAGCCCGACCCCGACCCAGATCCTTAGTCATGCCCCACCCTAACATGAATCTTTGAACCACTATAAAATAATACAATACAATACGTTAAAAATGAGTTGTATTCAATAATACGATATATACTATATTAAGTTACCATCCGTATTAATTTATACAATACAATAGCTACACCAAATATTACAGTATTATATTATTAAACAATATAGTGTTCTAATAGGGTCAAACTAATCAAACATATGTTTCCTCTAGTTTCCAATACCTTCACTTATTTTCTTCAAATATGAATTAAAGAAAATGAATATATATGTGTCTATATATATATATATATGTGAGCAAAAGTTTTGAGATAAAATCTTAGAGCTCGTTTAGTTCATTGATTCGAGTTTTTAATTCGAATTGAGATGTAACTTTATGTGAACTTTTTATTATAGTAAAAAAGTTAAATGTGATTATTTCTTAGAGCTTTTTACTATAACAAAACTTGAATCGGTGAAATGAACGGGACCTTAATTACTGCCCTTTTCGCCGGTAGGTCCTCCTCTCTCAATATTCCATATAACAGAAGTCAAGTTGCAGAGAAAGATAACCATCGATTGCAATTACATACATTAATGCAATTGCATAGGAGAAAAATTAAAGTATATATGCATAAAATAATGATAAAAATAACAATAAGAATCCGCAGAACTATTTAAATGAGTAAAAAACTAAGAACTTGTGTTGGATCTGTTGGAAAGCATAAATTCTCTCATATAAGATTTGTACAAAAAGAAAGCAGACGGGCTTCATGTACTACCACCCTGTTTCACCTTTAGGACAAGCTCCTCGGTGGTGGTTCCTATAATCTCATTAGCACGTTTCAAACCCACGCAGTAATACCGTCCAACAGAATCCTGAATTCAAGTCGAGTATCGAATCAGGAAAAAAAATTCAATAATATCAAACAAGAAAAAAACTTTACCCAGATTAGTAGATCAGGTGACAAGATACCATAACACGTGTAACAGCAATATTGCTAATTGGTAATGGCCAGAAAGAGCATTAAGCATTCAACAGCAAAACTTTTACCAAAAACGACAGTTTTGTGATTCTCCCATTCCACATTAAGGGCATGTTTACTTTGCATTAAAAAGAAAGGGAAAATGATGAGTGATTCCCTTTCCCATTTAATAATGTGTTGTTTACTTACAAAATCAATAATGAAAATTTAGTGGGCTCCACACAATATAAGGAACGAGAAAAGAGAATATCAATCCTTGCACCCCCCTGTTATCGATTCCTTGTCAAAGGGAATGAATGCTAAATTCACTTATCTAACCTTAATGAATTATTATATAGTCAATGACTATTTAATTGTGTAAAAGAACATTTTAGTGATTACATTCATAATATTGTTATTCCTAATTTTAGTAAACATAAGAAAGAAAATGAGGTTGTTTCCTATTGCACCATCTAATAGTCAAACAAACACATGAAAGGGAATGAATGACCTTTAATCTTATTACTTTACTTTCATTTCCAATCCCATTACCTTTCCCATTACATTCCTTTACGGTTTGGTAAACGCGCCCTTATTAATGAAATCACCTAACAGATATGTCAATTAAAGTCATCTACAAAATACAACACTCAGTTTTACATTCATCACTATGATTGAGCAAGGGGAGTGCGAAGACTAACCCGAGCTACGATTCCCAATTTCTCCAACTTCTGGACTGCATCATCCACATCGAAATTACAACTTTCGTTGAACTCTTCTTTAATTAGGTCCTCACACCACCTATCCAGATCCTATTTCAAATGAGCTCGCATGTTATGCCTTTCAAATGCCACTCAAAAGTCCCAATAGATAATCAGAGAATCAATAAAAACACAAGTAGAAAAGAGCTCTAAGAAATGCAGACCTGTCTAGTAGCTTTGCCTTGTTCCATCAAAATAAAGAATGAAATGATCACCTCCTTGACCTGCAAATTGAATGATGGGATGCTGAGGGAATTTTGCAGCATGAGATTCGATCAAATGTATTCAAAGTGGACAATCAGAACGTGAAAGATAGAAATAACAGTTTCATACATAAACAAATGTCCATTGGAAATATTAATGAAATATCCAAGTAGGAGTCCATCTTAAGCTTCAAAAAGGTGGACAATTTGCAGGAAACCCATCAAAACAAAATATAAAACTTGCAGTTTCTTTACGATAGTCTATTTGACTCTCAATGGAGCAAAAATGCATGTATTTAGTTGAAGAGTACGTGCATCACTATAGATAAGCCACTTAACTAAATCATATAAGATAGAACCGGTATACATGAATTCCACCAAGAAAGTTAAACCAAAAAATAGCATAAAGCTTGCAGCTTACTTCCTGTTGAATGACATCGTCACACAGATGGAGAAGAGTACCCTTTCCACTATCCAGTTGTTTGTCGTACATGGACTGCGTTATTAAATTCTGATAAGCAGCCATGTTTTGCTGAAAACTACAGGAAGTTGAATAGATGGTAGCCAAATTAGTAAACCAGTAGGGACACAATAAGAACTTAACTATCAATATTGAAATCAGGACGCTGGAAAGAGGTCCTCAAGAAATCAAAACAAAACAGAAGTGAAAAAGAACAAAAGCTGAGAAAATTAATGATAAAAATCCATCAAGAAGCCCCAAAATAAAGCATAATATCATGGCAGTGATGATACACAAAGATGTAATCATGGACTGCGTTATTAAATTCTGATACGCGGCCATGTTTTGCTGAAAACTACAGGAAGTTGAATAGATGGTAGCCAAATTAGTATATTGAAATCAGGACGATGGAAAGAGGTCCTCAAGAAATCAAAACAAAAACAGAAGCGAAAAAGAACAAAAACTGAGAAAATTAATGATAAAAATCCATCAAGAAGCCCCAAAATAAAGCATAATATCATGGCAGTGATGATACACAAAGATGTAATCACAGCCTAAGACCCAAATGGACATCACTAGTAAATCTAAATAGAGAAACCTCTAATCATAGTTGCACTAATCTGAAATAACCTACCCTAAGCATAAAAGAAGAGAAAGACCATATACCAATAAAATTGATTGGTACAAATGGTTAACCACATTCTAAAATGGATCCACCACATGACAATAACATATTCCCCAACCATCCAGTTCATAAAACGACTATCTCAAGAAAACACTTACGTGAAATATGTCTTAGCGCAGTAACCAATGACAGTGGAAAGAATAGCAATAATGACCCAGAGATCAGCTTTAGGCATTTCAACTGAAGTAACAACAGCAACCTGTAAAGGAAGACATAGCAGGCATATTTGAACAAAATGGGAAAATAAATTTGAAGAAAAAGAGAGAGACAATAAGCGTTCAGCAAACTTCATTGTCATCCAAAGTGAAATACTGACCAGCCCAACTACAGCAGATATAAGGAACTTGACCCAGTCCATCGGAGTTAATCCTGGATTTTTCTTCTCTGGCTGTAGAAGGAAAAATTCCCAACACCATGTTGTCATCAATCATATACTGTAGTTCGTTTCAAGACAATAGATAGAGCCCCTTAAGGAGTTTAGACTTAAGAGAAGGGGACGAGTGAGAGAAATAAGCAGTAGAAGTGACTTACAAGAACTATTTCCATATCAGCCATTGGAATGTTTTTAAAATGCTTCACAAATATTCCTCGCTCTGTTTTTTCCTTGGCACTTGCTCGCCTGAAGAATCATCATTCTTATCAAGCTATCTTTTCGTGGTTGTTTCAAACCACTTTCAGATTACACCATCTCGGAAATAAGAATTCAAACCCAGAAGTGTATCATCCATTGAACTTCCTTATACACAGTATTTTCTTTATATGTCCCAAAAATTCACAAAAAAAAGAAAATAAAAGAAAAGGATAATTTCCTTAATTAAGAAACAAGTACTGATTTTACGGGTAAATTTATGTTTTAACACTGTATGCCCAACATTCTGACAATAGAACCTACTAAATTGGTTTTGAAAGCAAGAAAAGCATGCATATCAATTCAATTGTCGAAAGCTTTGTTCGCGAGAACTTTTTGGTAAAAAAAAATAAAAACTAAAAAGAAAAAGAAAAAAGGAATAGGCAGTACCTATAAACAACAATTATCCTATCAAATGTTGGCTCTTGGATTGTTATCTTGCTCAACAAATTGCGTAGACTGCAGGACAATTACACAAAAGAGTTATGGCCATAACCACAGCCATCCGAAGTTTAACACGAGCAAACCAAATTCAAAACAAAGACACTCTCAGATTTGATTATATCCTGTTCAACGCATAGACAAATATCTTTTGACTCTTGAGATTTGATTTCTGTTGTATCCAAGTAATCAAGACTAAGGCAGGCATGATTCAACTTTTTAGAACAGCAACATTCACCCTAGCACAGTACATAAATATATCACCACACTTAGACTGTCAGCTTCAAAACTACAATATGAGGAGTAATGTAAAACCTCAATTCCAGATTTTCGAGCCTCTTCCTTTCAACATATAGGTCTTCCTGATCTGCATCTGGAATAATCTCATCATCCTTCTTTGGATCTTTCTTTTTCTTGCCTGACCTTCTGGACAAAAGTTTATCCAACCTGAAAAAAATTATACCGCAAGGAGCTCAAAAGGCTTAAAAAATAAATGAAGTTCCTTTTGTTAATAGATACCGGCATCTTTTATCTGAAAATAACATACTAGGCATTGCATATATCTATCTATTTGCACGAAGTAGTGATTCGTAAAAAGTAATCTAGAAAGATCTTTTCAAGTTTCCTAAAACGTGTTTAGACGAAAACATTTTGGCAAAGAGAAATTAATTACACATACAGTAATGAATTTGAAATAACCAACAATTACCTTGTTAATCGTAGAAGATATGACCAAAAACGTCCAATAAGCATGTCCATTTTTTCCATGAAAAAGTAATCGGTTGTTTTGTCGAGTCCAATGCCACGTCTAAATATAACGTACTGAAACAAAAACATGATACAAGATCATATCTTCATAAACAAGATTTTTCATTTCTAGTCCACAACTGAAAATAAAACAAAGAAGAAACATGAACACCCAAAAGGGATGCCAGAGTTCAGAGGATCACTATCAAAGTCTGGAAGGAACACATGCTCCCTTCAAACAAAAGGCTTCACAAGAGCGTGAATTGTCATAGAAATATAAAGTTAATACCTTGTCAGAAAAATCTGGAAGGTTTGGGCAAGGATGATCCTCAAAGTATTTCCTTAAAAGCTTCTTGTCAAGCTAAATTCATCACCAAGAAGAACAAAAAAGCAACATTGTAAGTATATTATTCATGAAATGAAGCACACATGAAAAATCATATGTTCCGTAAAAAAAAAAAAAAAAAAAGGTACTTGAATTCTCGTGGGAAAGCACAAACCTTAGAATCATCGACAGTAATAGGAAGATTTAAAAGATACTGCCCTGAAAGCGCCACCTCAATCTCATCATCAGTGGCAATCTTGAAATTACTCTTCTCCATCACCTGCACCAAAAATTTTAGCTACTCTAAAATATGAAACACCTTAAAAACCTCATACAAAGTTGATAAATTGCCACAACTTTATGGATGACTTTTCATATGAGAATCATCTACACAACTTTGCAAAGCAATCTATACGGTATTTTCTTCTCCTGAAATTCTCTATCCAAGTCACCTAAAGTATTCATCCAGGAAAGGAAAAATTACAAAATCCTCCCCTGTGCTTCAGGTGAAATGAAATATCCTAATCCAACCTTAAATTCTACATAAATTGCCCTTTAAAACTCCTATTACCAATTTCTTGAAACTTCCACCATCGGCACGATGTGAGATTTTGTTAAATTTTGAATAGGATTAAGGATAGATGTAAAGAAAAAATAATGGATGGAATTTTACATAGATATTTGAATGACGTTGTCAATTAGAACAGGAAATAAATATTTGTAGAAATCTTGAAAATTTAACGTTGAACATGGAAATTCTAGTATAACCAACCGAACACAGGATTTTTGTTATTTTTACGGAATATATTTGATTAATATGAGAAGAAGAAGTAGGTTACCTGAAACAAGTAAGTGAGGAAATTCTGTTCAAGCACATCAATTTCTTCCGGGGAGAGAGACTGCTGCTCCAATTTCTGAGCCCCATGGACAGGGTCAAACAGCGAGTACAATTGCTGCAAAGAAAATTAAAAAAAAAAAAAAAAAAAAAAAAAAGGTAGCGAATGTTTGTGTATAATAATACTAATAATAATACATTAGGATGAGGAGAAGAAGAAGAGAGAAATACCATCAAATCCTCGAATTGGAGAAGGTACCAAGCACGAATGGTGTACTCAACCCTCTTGCAGAGCTTCAGAAACTCTGCCCGATCAGAACTATGTTCTGCAAGCAACAATGTCGCAAACTCACCCAGTCATGATTTCATTCATTTACAATACAGGGAGAAAAAAAGAAGAAGAAGAAGAAGAAGAACCGATGAGGTTGGCCAAGGTCATGATGAGCTTGGGCTTGAGAATTGGGATGACGGACTCTCTCTCAATTCGAATCACCTCCTTCTTGTGATTGTGACTCTCTTTGGGATTGGGATTGGGATTGGGACTGTGATTATTCTCCATGATTTTGATTCTGGTTCTTCTTTCTTTCGAATTCAAATGAGCTTCTCTCTCCTCTCCTCTCCTCTTCTCTTCACTTCTTAGGTTTCAGAATGGAATATTATATATAATATAGAAATGGTGTGGGGTGGGATGATAGCTGATAGATAGAAGAAACGAAGATATGAAATATGAAAATTTTATTCTTCTCCGCTGCAATGCTTTTTGGTTTTGGAATATCTCTTTCTCCTCTTTCATTCATTCATTCTAATTCTTCCAAGGCAAGGCAGGTTTATCTGAGATTTCGCATTATTATTATTATTATTGTTATTTTGTTGATATCTTCATATCTTTCAGAGCAAAAAAAAAATTAAAATTAAAATCATATCATACGCGAATTAATTTTTATTTATTACGTTTGGGAAAAAGAAATTATTTTTATTTTGGAATATGTATAAAGAAGTGGATTTAGATGCATTCTAATTACATGAAAGAAATTACCGTAAATGATAAATAATTATTAATGTGATTAGGGAGGATAGGAAACTGAAACGTTTTCCTTCTCTCTTCCTCCCTAGATTAGAAAGTTGTAACCCCCTTAACTTAAGCTTATGATACTTGATCCGATTAAATTAACTGCTCTTTATGGTATTATTCTTTCTTTCTTTTTTTCTTTTCAATGTAACTGGCTCCGTTTTCTTGTACGACGCTTTGAAAGAGCAGTGTGTTTGGGTGAAGAGTTGATTGTGTTATTTCGAATCGAATATAGATATCCTTTTCTTCGATTTTAATGAATCATAAAACTTAAAAGATGAACACCAAAGTTCGACAATCAAATTGAACATACTTTGGGTACTTTTGGTGGTGACTTGAGTCATAGTTTAAATTTTTTTAATTAGTGGCCCACTTTTTAGTTTCAATTTGTGCTTGGAGTTTCATGCAATAATAAATAGGATAAGATAACAAGAACCCCACAAAGTCAAAGTAACAAGCAAGCCTGACGATGTGACAATTCAGACCCCACCATGACCAGTGACAATGTCAGTTGTCGGCACAGTTTAGTTTTTTTTTTTTTTTTTTTTTCATTATGTAAAAAAGAAAAGAAAAGAAAAAAACACACACACAAAAGGAACTGAAGAAAAACATGTTAAGAGCAGACTCGCTTATGTTGTTAATGTGTGGTGACGTTGCCATCTTAAATAGAGAAATGGCATTCAAAAGGCATTTTAATGGAATGGGATAAAAATGCATTTGCCTGTGCGTGCAACAACTTATAGCCTCCAAAGCTCTACAAGAAAAAGAGAATTTCTCAAAAATAACAGAGAAACAGAGAACAAAAATTTGAGATTGATCAAATCAAAATCTAAACAAAACCTAACAAATAAAGAGCTAACCATCTAAGTCTAGTCTAGTCTAGTCTAGATAAATATATATACAACATACAATATGTCACTTCCCACTTGGCTCAGGCTCATGCTCATGCTCATGCTTATGTATAGGTATGTACAAAAACCTATCTCCCGCTCTGTATTTCCAGCTGTTTTTTTACGTCTCCAACTACCTCAAAATCTTTCTTCTTCCTATCATTATCAACTCCCTAAACTCACTCTTACATTAAAATTCATAATAGTGCTTCCTTTAAAATCTTTCTGCCGTCTTTGGACCAAGTTCATAAATGAAAACCTCACCCCAAATATTGTTTCTTTTTACGTCTTTGAAAGAAACCATCTTCATTGGTTCCATGGTCTCAAGTATGGTTTCCCCATCGGATCACGTAAACCTGAGTTCTGATGTGGCAACCCCATCCATCCCATGTCATCTGGGACAGGCATCAATGAAGGGGCTGCTTCACGCCCGCTCATATAGTCAAGTGAATGAGTCGGTTGCGGAAGAACATTGCTGATACTGGGGGTAGCTCCCCCACCCATCATCCCATAGTTCCTTGATGAAATGAATTGCTCTGTAGAGGCCGCTGACTGGTAAGGGCTGCTTGCACGTAATTGGTTACACTGTGATAGAACACTGTATAAGCTCTGATCTCCGCCATTTCTACTCCCAATGCTCCGACTGGGGACACTAGCACCACCTGACCCAACCCATCCACCACGAACTTGATGTTCACTGGAGAACCAGTTTTGCATGTCTCCATTTAAATGAGGTTGGATAGGTGGTGGTGCCATCGGGACACTATTAACGACCCAATCTGGCGCGTCAACAGGCGCCAAGGTCTCCTGCCTCGGAATTAAGAATCTACCACCATCAGAGTAAATGTTCTCCGATACACGTTGTTGCAGATAAACATCATTCTCTCTTTTCTGTCCCTGCTCCATTGGCAGTGACGGATGTGATTGCTCCTGGAAATGCCCATGAAACCTCCCCTCTTCGATGAGCATATCGTTCGGTGACTGGAAATCCAACGTAGTTTGTTTCTGCTCGTGATGATACATCATTCCCTGGCCCTTAAAAAGAGATTGAAACAACTCATTTCGATCTTGGTCAGAGTAAGAACCAAAGGAACCATCATCCGATCGTCTGAATGAAGTATCCTCCGGTTGTCTATGCACTATATCTTTTTCAGCATCTTCAACTTGCAAGTTGGATTCCAGGTCAATTAAGTGCGTTTGTTGCTCCTCATTTGCTTTCGGATGCGCAATTGACAGCCCATCATCAGATGTGTATTCATGGCTTGCGGCAGAGTCATAATACGAATGTGAGATGTTACCTGCAGGCCAGACATCACCGCTACAAGATAGGTCTACTCCCTGACTGATGGCAACATCAGCAGTGTTCGCATCTCCTGAATACTCAGGTGCATTCAAAGTACCGTGATCTGATTCCGTGATAATACATTTTCCAGTATCTACATCCATGCCGTCAAACTCTTCATCAGATTGCAGGTGCTGCTGAGACTCTCTACCTGGGGAGTCAGATATAGACTTCTCATCATCAACGAGTGTGAGAGTGTTGTCTTTAACTCCATCTTCAATATGATCTTGATGAATGGATTTATCGCTCTCACTGTCCTCATCATCCTTGACCTGAACTTCCCATTACATATGAACATGTTAAGATGGCAATGCCAATATAAACACACAGACGCTTAGCAAAATAAAACCGGGCAAGAACACAGGTTCAACGATAAATCAACAGGATATCAAACAAGTTCAAATTACTCGTGCATTTCCATTCAAACAGAGAGAAGGGAAAAAGTAAAACATAAAGAACAGAAGCTAATCACAAACCTCTGTCGTCATCTTCAATTTTTCATTCAACTCCTGCTCCAAAGACTCTCTCATTTGCTGTCTTTGAGAATGCAAGTCTCTCCAATTTGCATATGCTGCTGGAAGAGCTTTGTTTGCCAAATGTATCCTATACAAACACGAGTAATCTTTGAGGAAGGAATTCAAAGATTTGCCATTTTGTTTTTTTCTTGAGGGAGAGAAAATTGTAAAGCACACTAACCAGTATTCACGCAACTTCTTCTGTTCTTCTTTGATAAATAACTCGTATGGTTGTACATTAATACTTTCGATGTTCCCTAAAACTCGGTTAAGAGACTTCGATTGGATGCTTTTGCCCTTCATATTCTTAACAATATCATGCTGCTTCTTGCTAACCTGAAATATATAAAGGCATACATTTGAACTGAGGAAGGATACCGTTTAGCCTGAAGACTAACTACTTAGATTTCCCAGAAACCACTAACCTTAAAATATGACATATATTTAGCACCATCACTACAAGTGATATTTTGCAGGTGCCGTTTGTCTCCTTTTCTCGATTTTAGTCCTACATTGAGCACATCATCTGAAACAACTGATGGGTTTCCACTCTTGCCCTTTAGAGAACCTTTCTCACGTTTCCTGACACCAGTAGCAACTAATAAGATTACTTCACCGCTGATTGAGACAAAATATATGCAGATATACACACTACCATTACTACCTATTCATTGCATTGGCTTATTTTATTTTTTGACAAGTAACAAAACACACACACATAGAGACAAACACAGACACAACATAACATAACATACATACTGTAACATAACTTACATAAATATCCTTTACTTCGGGCATCCATAAAGAACTCCCGACACTCAATTCTATCCTACTGTAAGCATAACTCTCTTCTGTTCTCTAAAAAACACCCGTACTCCTTTCAAGCCAAATAATCCAAACCAGAGCCAAAATTATCTTCATCGTTTTTGCTCATGAGCCAAGCAAACCCTTAACAAACATCAAATAGCATTACTACTGACCCTCCCAGAGGGATCTGTGTGGGCCATAATTCACATGGAATACTTGAACTTACATTTTACTTCAACAATGAAAAAGCAACCTTAGTGACACTCATTTGGAAGGCTGCAGAAAGTGCTTAAACTATTCAGTATAATGGAATCAAAGAATAGAAGACTTTTCCCCCATCAAATACAAAAAATTATTTTCAAATAGGAAGAGACTTAAATGAAACATGTGAACAGTCATGACCACCATATCTCCGATGTTTTAAAGACTTCTAAGGGGCTCTAAAGGGGGTTTCATATTTAACTCCTATTTGAAAGGTCGATAATGTTGATAGACAGTCACTTTGCATCTTAGAGAAATACAGAGAAACAGGAAAACTAGAAAATACTGCTCTATAGAGTCTTTGATTTATAAATCTTGCAAACAATGAAGAAACTTCATAATCTCACTACTTCTCTTTTTTTTTTCTTTTTTTTTTCTTTGAAGGAAACAGAACTTTATTAGGAAAAACAGTTATGACTTCATAATCTCACTACTAAGTTAGGTACATAAATTGACATGCCCACTGTAAGGAAGCAAAATACCTACCTATTCTGAAGTTCTCCACCTTTAAGCATCGAAGAATTCTGGTTGTCACTGCTACATGCTTTCTCATCAGCAACCCAAGAGCAAGATTCAGATGAAGCTGCGATATTGTCCTCAGGAACGCAAAATCTGGAATCATTTGCAGATGAGGAAATTCTTTTGTCCGTATCATTCCTTGACCTGCTTATGATTCACTTAGATGAGACTGAAAACAAAAACAAAGAACAAAGCACCCAAAAAAAAAAAAACTGCCAACTGGAGAAATGGGACTTTGGATGTGCCACATACAAAGTTTTATGATAATCTCAAAGAACACGAACACCATCAACTAAACAAAATCACCATAATGACATTAATCCTCCAAAGCACTAGCTAATTCAAATCCAGGTATTCTCTTTCCTCACTTTTTTTTTTTTTTTGGGCCTAGAATTTACACATCTAATTTACATAATAAACGAAGAATGCCTCAATATTCAGTTAGCAACTTAGTATTAACCTCATTGTGCTAGCAATGTTATGTGCTGAAGGGAAATGCTCAACCTCATTGACCTTGTGAACAAAACAAAAGGCAAAAATCATTTAGTATTAACCTCCATATCTTCTGCACAATTTCCTTTTCCGGATCTTTACAGTTTTCAAATCTCTCCTTCAGCTTCAGTAAGTATCCAATCATACTGCCAGAACAAGCACAGAAACATTATAATCCTCTAATAAGGGAACAAGAACCACTTAGGACAACATAAAATTCAGGATAAAAGTGCAAAACATTTGGCATACATACTTATTATGATATTTATGCAGCTCTGCATTATATGCTTTCTTTTCAGTCTTTAAACACTGTTCTTTCTGAAAAATTGCATCAGGGTGAAGATCGCCTGCGCAAAGTGAAGCACTCCTGCAGTCAAACAATGCAAATGGATTTGTTAAATTAACTATATGTGTCCTTGAATCATCCATTCCAAGAAGAAGAAGTCTTTCAACCGACCACAAAAACTTAGACAAGGTTATAATGAAATTTAAAGCAATAGTAACAGTTCAACAGTCAGAGTCTTAGGAATAGTAAAATGATTTTAATATTCTATACTATAAAATTCTTAATTTAGATTAACGAGTATGATGTAATAGAGAAAAAAAAAAAAAACAAGCGGTGTACAGATAAGTAACAACATAGCTCAATCAACAGCATTGACTAGTGAGTACAGTTGCACATATCATAAAAATGTCTTCCTTTTATGGCAGCCTAATTTCGGTAGGCATGATAACAATGCATAATAAGGGAATTTCAAAAGTGAGAAATTTGTACCCACAGTATAACTATCATGTAACAATACTTGCCAGTTGAGAAAAGGGCTTCCAAAATGAAAATTATCGCCCGCTAGCAATGCTTCCAAGACTTCCTCAGCCTCTGGACCCCTAGGAAGAAACTGCATAAGATGGTTTCTCTCACTTTCAGATAGGTATGTCTCCCAGACCTACAATTTTCATGAGTTGAGCAAACAGCATAATCCGTATAAGATGAATTTTGTGTAAAATAAGAATCAACAGCTACCTCATACGAGAGCACATCGTTAAGATTCTCCAACGTGTAAATCTCCTGAGGAACAGAAAAAACGTCAGCTATTGGATTGTTGACAGAAGGAGAGGAGCGCATAAATGGCCACATGTCTCTCCGACTTATGCTGATTTGATCCCTTCTGGCAACGACTCTTTTCTGATTTCCATCCCACTCAAGAGAAATATGGGACTTCATATTCGGATCATATTGGGGTAACCCTGTATTCTTCCGTTTCGCTCTATACTGCTCCCTTCCATGGAAACCAACAACACCGGCACTATTCAATCGTTTTCTCCACTGATCAGCTGCCATTGAAACAAGCTCCTAAAAAAGTCCCCCGCAGAAGATGAAATCAATATTGTGGTACGAGCTCGACCGTGTTCAGCAAGCAACCTGACAACGCTATTCAAAAAGCATAATATAATTATCTAATTAGAAGGATAATTTACCAAAAAGTTTGCCCTAGAATTTTACGAGAGGACAAGAGAAAGAGAAGAAGAAGAAGAAGAAGAAGAAGAAGAAGGAGCCTCGTTATCCAATTGGCTTAGAGAGAGAAAGAAGAGAGAGACTCGCACGCATACCATAGAAATTAGAAATTGAAAAAAATGAAAATTAGAAAGAAAGAAAGTCAGAGAGAGAGAGAGGGAGAGAGAGGATTTTTTTTATTATTATTATTTATTTTTGCAAGAGGAGGAGGTGATTCTTGGGTTTTGATTCTTGGGCTCGGCTTGGCTTTGGAGGCGTGGGCTCCAAAGTTCTAACAAGGCCTTCTTAGTTCCTCTAGATGCGAACAAGACTGGTTTTTTTTTTTTTGGAACGAGACCACACGGGTTGTGTTGTGTTGTGATTGTCTCACCCGCCACACGACCAAACTTCATTCAACACACATTGTAGATTGTACTCTACTTCCTCTTCTCCTGTTTTGATTTTTCACGTTGACTTTGACCTTGAAATAAAATATTTGCTTTATTTAAGAGAAAATATTATAATTTTATTTGAATGGTTAGTTTGAATTTTGTTAATTTGAACCTTTTTACTTTAATATAAACATTTGAATTGTGTTATTTAAATTGTAATTTGACTTGATTTTTGAGTATACAATTAAAACTTTAATATGAACATAGAATAAAATTTAAATTTATGTTTAGTAAGTGTGAAAAACAAAGAGAATGAACATCTTTTTACTGTTTAAAAATAGTTTGCACACTCGTCTTCCACGCAAGTAGTCATGGGTTTGAGCTGGGACCATCAGTGCCAATCCACTTCGAGAGGGGTCTATATGCCACGTGAAAATAATGTCTTTTCATAAGATTATTTGGGTACGTCATCTTTATCCCAACAACTTTTTAAATTCTTATGTCACGTTCATTTCACCGATCTGAGTTTTCAATTTCAGTTTTGTTATAATTAAAAGCTCTTATAAAAAGTCACATTTAACTTTTTAATACAGTTAAAAGCTCTCACATAAAGTCACGTCTTCACTCGAATTGAAAATTCGAATCGACAAACGCCAAAAAAAAACTGTACAACTACAAATCAACCATGAAGATATTTTTTTGGTGTAGTTATTCTCAAATCAAATATCATTAAGGCTTAGTTTGGTAGTGTTGTAAATTTTGAAAAAATTACTTTTAGTTATGCTGAAAAAAGAAACAGTTGTTATAAAAAACAGCTGAGTGTTTTGTATACTGTAATTATACTAGTTGTGCTGGTTTTAAAATCAGTGTAATAGCGTTTGGTAAATTATGAGATTGAATTGATGTGTGTAGTTAAAATGATCAAAATAGACATGATATGAAACTTAAATATATATATATAATTGTTTTTGGTAGTTAAAATGATCAAAATAGACATGATATGAAACTTAAATATATATATAATTATTTTTGATATTTATAAATAATTGTTTAATTTAAAAAAATAAAAACATAATGCTATGATTCTGAGTTTTCTAATAATAAATTTATAATAATTAATATTTTTTTTTTATTTCTTCATTCACAATACATTACAACTAAAAGTAGCATTAGTGAATAATCAACATATACAATAAAAATGAACATTTCATGTTCAACTGGAAGAGGCATGAAAAGAATCAAAGATGCATTCCTCAGCTCAAATAAACCATTGTAGAACCATTTTCCATGAGTTGTTTCAACCATTGTAAACCAACATACAGATGTTCACAAGCAGCTTTTACCAAATTGTTGCATTGATGTTATAAACCGTAGTTCATCAACAACTGAAATCAGGAAAGAAATTAGAGTCAAACATTTACAAGTCCCTCAAGCAATGGACAATATCACAAAAATAAATTAGAGTCAAACTTTTACAACTGAAATCATTGATGTTATAAACCGCCAATGGAGCTACATTTTTCGCCTCTTTCGACGTGGATAGGCTCCACAACTACAGCAACTGTTTTTCCTAGTTGGATGGCTTTTCTCGCCTCGTCAATAACTCCATCTTCTGCCAATCTCACTCTATCTTCACCACCCCTTGCATTCAAAGCACCAAGAGCTTTTCCTTTTCCTGCTCCAAATGGGTGGGTAAAAGACACAAAATGAACCAGTCTCTCACCGCGGGAAAACCTCTAGAATTCCAAAGCAAAATCTATAGCACTATCATTAGCTAGCCACAAGGAAGAATGAGTATATTTAATGATAACAGATTGTAGCAATTGAGAACATACTGCCAACTTGAATCGCGATTCTAACGCAATTTATCCCATTCCCCAACACCAAGATGGAATTTTCCAAAACTAACTTGGAATAGAAACATTGTTTGAGAGATTTGGAAAAAATCTAACTAGCAGTTGATTCAAAAGAGGTCTACTGATGCAAACTCAATATTTGATAGGCTAAGGTTTTCATTAGTTCTTTTCAATTTCTTAAGGAAGTAAAGACAAACAGATCTCACAATTTCAGACTAATTAAAAGGTGATAAGAATTTCTCAAAGGTGTTGCTGATGGAGCATGTATGTTCCCTAAACTAAAAATGAAAAATGTTTACGCAGCTCAAGAGCAACAGACAATCTTAGAATTCCACAATGACCAATACTAGTAATGCGAAACACAATGGAACTTTAAGCACCTACCACTATAAATTCTCTTCAGAATCAAAGTACCTAATGAACGTTAGATAACTTAGATCCTTGTCCAAACGCCAAACACACAGCGAATGTCATTGTAAACAAAGTAACTATTCCAATATAACAACTACAATTTACTAATTCAAACTTATAGGATATTTGGTTAAATTGTTACCCAAACAACCCCCGATAGAAAACAGAATAAGATAATTGCAGTTATTAACAAGTTTCAAATTGAAGCAAGTACACTAAAATATCTAGAATTCTAAGAAAACCACCAATTCAGACTCTTTTCATACAAAGTTCAAAGAAGTGAAAAGGCCTATGATAGCAAATCCAATGAGAAAACCCTATTAAGAAAAAGAATAATGGAAATATCTCATAATTGTATTTGCATTACAAAGAAAACGCACTTCATAGCCAAATATATATAAACGCAAGAATAAATGGGCAAATACCCATGAAATTAAACCTAATATCAACTAAATTAAAACCCAATGGCTCAACAAAAATTCGTGAAATTTAAATTTATTTCAACCAAAAACACTAAGGAGACGTTTGGTTCATGGACCATCATGTAATTATAACCATTTTCGATTTACGTGTATTTTTGTGAGAGAAAATATTGTAGCGAACCATGAATCATGATTCAAATCATGGTTTAAATCCTCCAACCAAACATCTCCTAAATTCGGTTTTAAAATGAATCTAATAAAATATATTCATTAATAAAATTAATCCTCTCACGGCACAAAATTACCCAAAAATAACCCACCAAAATTTCATTGGGCCAATTAGCGACGCTTAAATCAAACGGTTTCAAACTAATCCAATAAAAAAAACAACGAATAAATCAATGCAAATCTCAATCGCCTAGTCATCAAATTACTATTAGACATTAGGAAAAATTAACAATAACATGAATCAGAAGTTTCTTTTCCGTTTTTTTTTTTGCGAATATGAAAACGCTGAAATTGATGAAAGTAGGGATTTTATTTCTTAGAAAAGAATTGTGATTCTGAAACTTTCATTTCCTAAGGTTTCTTAGAAATCAAAGAGAAGAAATAACACATTAAGTGAGAGAATGTGTAGAGAGATATCCCAACTATGACTGATCAGCCAGACGTACCTCTGTTCCAAATTGAGTACTTACAGAGGCTATTGATCTGATGACTCCAATCGGATATTCCACAATCCAATGATGAAATCTAAAAACCCTAACGATAACAAACCCACAAACACCGAAAGAACAGAAAGAGAGGAGAGACTCTGCATGACTGACAATCTCAGAAGCAACTTGGGAATGGAGAGAGGGAGTCTGAGAAAACAAAGAGAGAGAATCAAAGAGAGAGAGCTTTGGCTAAGAAAGAACGAGAAGAGCACAATTGAGAGAGGATAGCACCAGCAAAGGAGCAGAAAGAAATTTAAGAACGAGATTTCTTTAATTCAGCGAGGTTAATTTGGGAAAAAGGAAAATATCATTAATGAGGGATAATAGATTGCCGCACAATCTACAATCAGATGCAGCTTTAAATTCCTCACAAATTATCTAAGGATCACTTCATGAGGTTTTTACCAAACACATAAGCTATGTAGAAAATTGATTTTAGGCTCCCAAAATATCTACCAAACTAAGCAAAATCCTCTTATTTCCGAAGTGAATGTACTCTTTGATTTCAACCTCATCACCACTATTGCCTAACTTAGTTTGGTATTACTTTTCGCTCCCAAAATCAGCTTCTGCTTGTAGCAAAAGTTAATTTTAATGTTTGATAAATCTCCTTAATGCTATGTTTGGTAGGAAGGAAAGAAAATATGATAGAAAGGAAATATGAAAGTGATGGAAAATAGCAATGATGGAAAGGAAATTGATTTTCTTTTATGTTGTTTGGTATGCGAAGATGGAAAGAAAATGAGCTTACCTTCACTTGTTTGGTATTGGAAGTTAAATTGGGAGGAAAGAAAAAATCTTACTCGTAAATTTTTTTTTTTTGCGAATATGAAAACGCTGAAATTGATGAAAGGAGGGATTTTATTTCTTAGAAAAGAATTGTGATTCTGAAACTTTCATTTCCTAAGGTTTCTTAGAAATCAAAGAGAAGAAATAACACATTAAGTGAGAGAATGTGTAGAGAGATATCCCAACTATGACTGATCAGCCAGACGTACCTCTGTTCCAAATTGAGTACTTACAGAGGCTATTGATCTGATGACTCCAATCGGATATTCCACAATCCAATGATGAAATCTAAAAACCCTAACGATAACAAACCCACAAACACCGAAAGAACAGAAAGAGAGGAGAGACTCTGCATGACTGACAATCTCAGAAGCAACTTGGGAATGGAGAGAGGGAGTCTGAGAAAACAAAGAGAGAGAATCAAAGAGAGAGAGCTTTGGCTAAGAAAGAACGAGAAGAGCACAATTGAGAGAGGATAGCACCA